TCCCGCCACACCTCAAAATTTGAAGGGAAGTGCATTTCGCAATGCGTTTTATGCGACAAAAAATAAAACATCGCAATTAATATTTTAATTCTAATTTAAAATTTCTAAATTTAACTTTTGTGACGAATTTAAAACGTCACGAAATAATAATTTTATTTAGTAAATTTATATTCTGCGACAAACTTATAAAAACGTTGTTAAAAAATAAATATTCCCGATGAATTTATAAATAACGTCGTGAATTAATATTTTTATGTTATTTTACTTTAATAACTAAAATTTATATTCTGCAACAAAAAAAAAACGTTGCTAATGAAATATTTTGACTTTATTTTAATTTTTATTTTAGAGTACTTATTTTTGCGACAACTTGAAGTTACCTGCGACGAAAATTTTTTGTCGTAAAAAGTTATCATTTCTCGCTCCAAAAAAAAAATGGAGGGAATCACCTTTTCGCGATACACTTTAAAAAACGTCGCAAAAAAATTGCCAAAAAGGACATTTGCGACAAAATTATAAAATCGTCGCGGATCATACACTTTTGCGACGAATTAAAGTTCGTCTCAAAAACAAACTTCGCAAAAAATGATGTTTGACTAATCTAAGTTTAAATTCATCTTTAACTTATTAAAATAAGGTTATTTATATATTCTTAATGAAAAAATCTACTGTGCTATTTTTTGTAGTTTTGAATTGGCACATGGATCGAGATAGGATTTTTCAATTTCAAAAAGGGAGAGATTTTCAAAGCTCTTTCCAAACTATTCAATATATGTTATTTATGATGCCTAACATGTTTTAGAACTATTGGTTGAGTGATTTTGAATTGGCTCAGAATCTGGACCTGGTTAGGGTTTTGATGTGTGCTGAGCATGGTTGTTCATATTGAAATGAAACTCCGAGATCATTTTGAATGCAATGTAAGTGCACATATGATCAAGTGGAAAAGGTTTTACACCAATGTTAGTGCACATATGATCAAGTGGAAAAGGTTTTACATTCCAAGTTGAGACCATATTGGTTTCATTGATTTCGTAAATGCCTATGTGGCCTTGTTCGTCTTCGGACTTGGGTATCGAACTGGATCATATTGAATTATAGGGAGCGTATCTTCTTTATGGTGAAAGTTTCATAAATGATTGGTTTGTATGCATTCTATAGTTTGTATTGAGACTGAGTGGTCTAATAGAATTTTTCTCTCCGATGTGGCACTGTATTGATATTATGATCACGTTATTTCTTTTATACTTAACTATTTTTGATTAACATTAACTATTTTATTTTATATGTATCAAATGATTGTTCTTTGATGCCCAATCATATCAAATTACTAATTTTTAAACTCATATGTTTTGGAATTGAACTATCCCACTAACCTGTTGATGTCTACCCTACGTTATTTCTCTTTCTATAGATTAGCCAGTACTGAGGGAAACTGTGAATAGTCGAACTGCTACATTTTCATTTTTTTTATTAGATAGTGTGGGAGAGTTTGTGAAACGTGTAATTATAATAAGTTATATGCCTGTCTATGGGACTTTAACTTGGCCTTAGATAGAGTAGTTATGCTATTAGTTTATAATATGTTTGTTGAGCTTTTAGCAATTCATGAGTTATGTTATGTGGGTTTGGCTTACTAACGTGACATTGTGCTGCATTAGTTACATTACATGCACGTGCAGGTTGAGATAACATACGTCACATGCCTATGTGATCCAAGGTGTGACAAGTTGGTTTCAGAGAGTACTCACTTATTTGGAGATTATATTATTTAGTATATATGAAGATTATTAGTGCTCTGATTTACATGAGTTGGGTCGGAGTGTTACAGAGCAGCAACAAAACTATCAGATAACGTGCCCGTGTGATGTAGGGCGTTAGAGTTAACATGCTTGGGAGAACTGGGGTATTATGGTTCTCCTAGGCATTTCACCTATAACACCCTCACATCACACGAGTGTGTTATCTGATAGCTCTAATACCAACTCTATGACGCCCTGACTTAACTCATGCAAATCAGAGCACTAATAGCTTTCACAAGTAATAAATGTTACAATTTTTAAATAATGAGAAACCTTTGTTACAACCTTTTCACACCCTAACCCAAATTCCATATAATTCTAGTAACCGTATGCTTACAAACCTCTAACATTATCTTTGATGCAATCTAAGAAATATCCTTTCTCTGAATCATTGAACTGTAACGTACATGCTGAGATTAAAATAGACTAAGCCAAACTAAACACAATAAGCTGATCAAGTCATGCTCTACATTCTCATGACTCGAGTCTATTTGCAAAAGAGAAAAATAATGTAGGGTGAACGCCAACCAATTCAGTAGGATAACTCAATTCTAAAGCACACAAGTTTGAAACCAAATAATTTCACATGAACGGACATCAAAACAGTCAATTTTCATACATAAATAATGGAGACTGTAAACGTGCAAAAACAATTAAGTTGAAAACAACAATATGATCATAGCATTAATATTGTGCCACACCGGACAGAAAATAATCTTAATAGACCACCCAAGATCAATATGAACCAATCATTTAGGAGACTTTCACCCCAAGGAATATATGCTCCCTAATTCAATACGATCCAATTCGGTACTCAAGTCGGAAGACCAACTGGACCACCCAAGCATTTACAAACTCAATAAAACCCTCTACGATCTCAATCTAGAATGAAAACCCTCTATCACTCGATCTATATGTACATACACTTCATTCAAAAGGATCCTGGAGTTTCAATTTTATACAATCAATACGAACCATCAAGAAAAACACACATCAAAACCCTAATCGAGTTCGGAGATTCAAAACAGTATAAAACTCCAAATCATAATTCATAAAACATGTTAAACGATGTAAATAACATTGAATAGTTTGGAAAGAGCTTAAAAAATTTTGCTCGTTCTAAAATTTAGAAACCCTACCTCGATACACACGTTGATCCGAAACTTCCAAAAAGTAACACACTAGAATTTTTAGTACAAATTTAGAAATATCCTTATTTTAATTATCTAGAAATGAATTTGAGCTTAGTTTGGTCAAATCCCCCCAAAATAGACCAAATCAGGACCAAGGGCAAAATTATCATTTTATGTGATTTTGTCTCGAGTGTTAGAGCACAAAACGAAGACCATTTTTGGAATCCTTATGAAAAATGGGGACAATCCCCACAAACTAGAGCCTGCAGAAGCCTCCCAACACGACCCCAAGTACCGTCAAAAAGTTTGGCCAAAAAAATTACTATTCATCTTCTTCCTCCTTTTCCTTAGTGTTGCCATAATTTTATGGAAAAAGAAAAAAAGCTAACAAGCCAATTTTTCTATTTTCGTTCTCTCTTCACAAAGCACCTAAAGCTCTCAAACCAACGCCAATCTACTCTCCATACCATTCATCCACACTTCGTGTCCACAAGTAATTGAGCTTGATTCCCAAGACCTGCATAACACACTGGTTCTCCTGGGCATGTCATCTATAATGCCCTGCATCATACAAACGTGTTATTTGATAGTTCTGATACTACTATATAATATAATGCTCCGACCCAACTCATGTAAATCAGAGCGCTAATAGCATTCACAAGTATTAAATGATACAATCTCCAAATATTTGAGTAAGCTTTGATACCACTCTTGTTACACCTTGGATCCAGACATACGATGTATAACGCCTTGAATCACACAAGCACGCTATGCAAACAACTTTGTGCAGCTATACATAATGCGACCCAAAACCCACATAAAATAACAATTGTTTGTTATTTAGCTCAAATGGGTAGGCACACTCTACACAGCTAATGAACCATTCAGTCATATGCTTATCAAAATTCACAAACGTATGTTCACCTTATTACAATATACATGGTTTACAACATTCAAAACATTTAGTAAAAGAACTCTACAACTGGCAGTTCAACTATACACCATACCCACGTCGCTTGCAAATCTGAAAAGACAGGAAATATTGTTGGGTGAGCGCCAACCAAGTCAATTGGATAGTTCAATTCTAAATCACACGATTTTGAAAACAAGTAATTTGACAATATTGGGCATCAAAAAAGTTCATTTCATACATAAATAATATAGTAGTAAATGTTGAGCGAAAATAGTTAAGTCAATACGATCACAAATCAATATAGTGTCACACTAGAGAGCAAATAATCCTAAAAGGGTCGATATGAACGAATTATTTGGGGGAGTTTTACCCCAAGGAATATACGCTCTCTAATTCAATATGATTGAATTTGGTACCCGAGTCCAACAGTCAATCGGGCCACTTAGACATTTACGAACTCAATGAAACTCTCTACGGTCTCAACCTCGAACGTAAATCCTCTGTCACTCGATCTTGTGTGCACTTACAATTAATTCAAAATGATCCCGGAGTTTCAATTTCATACAATCGATACAAATCATCGCGCAAAACACACATCGAAGACTCACCCATTTCAGCCCGGTGGCACAGCACAGTTGGAGGAATATGATAAGCAGAAACAATCTGCAAAATATCAGCATTGGAATTTAAAGTGCTAGAAATAATACTCAGTTTAGACCCGTCATCATCAAGGGCCATTTTACCTTTGTGCTTTTTGTTGCGAGGGCACGAGGAATTGCCTAAACCCTTGTCGAGGAGGTCTTGAGGAATTTGGGTTTAAGAAGTCGCGCTTGAAGGAGCCGGACCATCACCACCAAAAGTGTTTGGTGCACTCTATCTTGTAACTCCAAAATCAGGCTCACCAGAAGCACCCAAGGCATATCCATGCTCGCCCAAATTGCCAGCGCCCCCTATGTCACCTACAAACGTGCTCAGCACCTCCCTCTGCTCACCTAGCTGCATGCCTAGCACAAAAGGCGCCGCTGCCTCACTCAGCTTGCCCAAATAATTCTTGGCAAGTTGCGGTGCCTCGACCTGGGAGTCTAGCATCTGGGTAGCCTGAGCCTCAGCGCCCAACGCCTGGACAACACTCTTTGCGTGTCCAACTCCTCGCTAGACAGCCTTTCCAACGTGAATAGACCGTTCACCCGAACTCCACAGATCAGCCTGCATGTCAGCTGGACTACCCAGACCAAGGGACTGTCCTGACCGCTCACCTGCGTCGCCCAACAATGGGCTCGCCTGGAACTTGGCATGAATGGGCTGCTCACCCGCATGCTCTGCACACCCACCTGCGTGCGTGAGCTCGGTTGGGCTCACTATACCAGCATGCTGCCCCGCTCCCCCAACGGCCAGATCTGGGCGCCAACTGGTACTCACCAAGTCAGTGAACTGGTACTCACCAAGTCAGTGCGCTCAGCTCCACCTCCACGCACAGTCGAGGCACCTAGGGATAGCTGCTCCTCCCTCGCCTCTCCCCTTGCAAGGTCTGCTCGCCTAGGCAGCCCCGAAACATGCTCGCCCAACCATGGCATGCTCCCCCTTGCCACCTCCTCATTGCGCCCAGCAAGCAGCAATCGGTCAACAACTTGGTCCGCTAAAGCACCATGGAACGAAGCCTTAGCCCGTGCCTCCTCTACTCAGATGTTATCCAATTCTATCTCCTCTCCACCGAGATTTGCAAACCTTTCTCCTTCAATGGACATTGCTCTGGATGATGGGTTCAAGAATCTCACCTCTTTATTGTCGAAAGATTTCAAGAAGGAGCACTCTTGAATGAGTTGAACGAAATGGGTAGAATGAGGAAGGAAATTTATATTTATAGCCTAGGGTTCTCAAAAAGCAAAAAGGCCCAATTCAAAACCAAGGACTCTTCTAGAATCCAAAAGGAGGAATAAAATGAAGAGTTTAAATAGCTGAAGAGGTCCTACAGAGCTAAAATACATCAGAAATGGAGAAGGAGCCTTGGCATCTGATCCAAAAGGTCGATCCCCGAGTCGAAGCTCAACATGGACGTAGCGGGAGAGGAGTCTTCATGAGTCAGAATTTAAATTCAACTAAATTCCGCCTTCTCCAAGTTTTCTTAGACACGGAATATTGAGAGGCAAATGATGGATTAGACTCAATTCATGTGAAAAGCTCAATCCTAATTAAAATGCCCAAGCTTATAAAGACCCAACAGGCCCAATGTGTTCCAAGCCTAGATGTCGTCAAATGAGCATCCAGGAGTCTTGCCTTCGCCGCCTTTGAAAAAGTTGACCCACACCTCATCCTTTGATCGAGTCTTATGGAGAGCACGTAACTGCCTAACACGTTGAGAAGAACTTGTCAAATCCAATAGACTAGCCAACTGGTAACTAATATCTCTCCCAAATTTGTTAAGAGGGTAACTATAAATTGTAAGCTCAACTAACACTTGGGGGCATCACACTCAACTGAGCACAATTTTCTTCTCCCTTTTCAGGCTTGTAACTCTCTGCTCCCTCTACACTCTTGAGTTAATAAAATACCCGGTGACCCTAGTTATTTAGAAGTGGACGTAGGTTACATTGACCGAACCACTATAATTCTTGTCTTCTCTCTCTACTTTAATTACTGCATTTATTTTCATTTACTTGATAGGTGGTGTGCAAAATCAATTTGTGCATCTTCAGAAAGCTCTTGAAGAGTAGAGTTTAATGGTAAAACCAACACCCCCATAATATCGTTCACCTGCTTCCACGTGCCTCCGGGATGGCTGGTGGTGGTTGCCCACCTTCCTCCTACTTTCATAGAAAACTGGTTTTGAGTTTATCTTCTCTAACTTTTCTCCCTCGTTTCTTAACGCTTTGAGTGATTCAAAAGCCTAAAATTCATCTTGTTCAAATCATTCTAATGAAATAAAGCATAAAATTCATGTTTCTAAGTTCCCATAAATCTTACCATCTCTTGAAGATTCGAGTTTGAAGCCTTGATGATGTTTTTCATATTTTTTCCCTTTTTTTTTTTGCACCAAACCTCACCTCCCAGTTTAATCCATTCCCTTCCACTTCACCTATCTCGACCTTGAACTTTGCATCTCACCACCACACTACTAGTCATATCCCAATGTAAAATTAGAAGAGTCTATAGAATCTCAACTCTATTAGCGCGTTCTGATTTGCATGAGTTAGGTCCGGACACCACAGAATTGGTGTCAGAGCTATCAGATAACACAATTGTGTGATGCAAGGCGTTATAGATGACATGTCTAGGAGAACCGGGCTTTACATGTCCACTCTACACGAGATTTCTGTAATACCTTGTTTTCCTCCTTCTAATCACTCAACTTCTGTAGCAAAAATAGTTGAAGTTGTTACGTGTAAGCCACATAAAAGAATTGCATTAAAATTTTTCATTTTCCTAAAAAATAGCTCGAAAATTATTGAATTAAATTAATTAGAAGGTTTTTCAAATCTTCTTTATCTATTTTGATTATTATAAAAAATAAAACTTGTTGTGATTGTTCTGTATGTCAAAATACCTGTTATTGTTTTTCAATAGTGTTATGCTTACCACAGCAATGTGAATGGTTAGATATGTGGGTTTTAACCGAAAAAAATATACAGGTCCCATTGATCTAGTCATCTACATTTATTTAATTGGTATTTTGGTAAATACTCTTGGATCAGCATGGCATTATTCCTCCTTTTTTTTTTTTTTTTTCTGAGCAATGCTATTCGGGCATAATTTATGAATATAATTTGGAGACATAATGAATTGTCACCAATAATATGATAATGAATTCATTTAATGATACAATAAGACTCATTATTAAATATATTTCAGTATTACTTCATTGGTAACAACTCATTATATCCCCAAATTATGTCCATAAATTATGTCGCAATAGCATTAGTGTTTTTTTTAATCTTTCAAAACAGAGAATATCTTATGCCTCGTTTGGATAGCGGTAATCTTGATTTGGAATAAGATTCTCATTCTTAAATCCTAAATTATTATGTGTGGATAGCCATTATTAAATAATTCAAGTCGATAATAAAATTACTATTGTAATCAAATTCCTAAAGATGGTGGGTATCCTAAATCCATGTCCAGTAGTGGCAATCTGATATCTATATTAATTATGTATTCTAAAAAAGGAATATAAAAATCTCAAAATGAAGGTCGTTCCTAAAATTAACTGCATTCCAAAAATAAGATCTCTTCCTAAAATCAATATATTTTCTAAAATTAATTTATTTCATAAAAAGATAAAAATAATATTAATTTTCCTACTAGATTGTTGATAATAACCAAATAATAAATATGAAATTATTATGTTAATTAAAAATTCATGTATCTCATTATTTAGATACTTATCCCCAATTAAAATTATTGTCATTCAAACATCATGTTTGAAGGCATAGAAGTGCAACATGTAACTAAGTTTGGCACAATTCCACTATCTTATACAATACTTAATATCGTCGTTGACCATTGTTTGAAATAATAACATTTAACCCCAAATGGTAGATCTAGACGTCTTGAATTTGAGTGTTAACAATCTCTTGAGACCAAGTAACGAGAGATTTATCACTCATAAATATCGTAGTCTCGGCATGGATAATTTGTCTTTGATAGGTCCGGAGAGAAGATTAGTCGAAATGTGCGTAATCTAGTTTAAACACTCCTGACAATTGAAAAAAAAAATTATGTTATAAATCCTACTGTTTACCATTGTTTGAAATAACAACTATAGGTTATAAATTCTACCATTTAGTGTGTAGTTGTTTACTTGTTAGGAAAAAAAAAAACAACTCAGAAGCTAGCATGCCCTTTGGATAATGCATTTATTAGTTACTAAAATGTCTAGCCTACAAAGATAAACATGATTTTTTTTTGTCCCTTGTTACATATATATGGGCTTCTCAATCGTATCGACTAGAATGAATTTGTGTTGGGTCTTAATAAGTTCGTATAAAAATATATTTCACTTATATCTATTTCATTTATTAATTCGTATCATATCGAGTTCATTTTGTGTATAAATCATGTATAACCGATATATAAATCAATCATGTTGTATAATTTTTTTGATTGACTTTATTCATAATTAATTTGTTTATTAATTTTTTTCATGCCGAGTCCACTCGCTTATGAAACGAGTATATTAAGGAAAACTCAATCCCTCTAATTTCGTGTCATGCTCGTGTCGTGTTGATAAGTCGTGTCATTTTTTGATACTCCTATAAATGGGCTTAGATTCTATCTATTGTACTATTTTTTAAATTATCTCAACAATAGATTATCCATCATATATAAATAAATGATGTATTTATTGACAATAGATTTTATTTCACCATATAAATGATATATTTATAGACAATAGATTTAATTTCCATTCCGCAACAGAGATTGAATATTTAAGAAGAATTAAAATATAGGGTTAATCTCAAATTATACCATTAAAGATTGTTCAAATCTTAATTTGCATCCTCAAAAATATAAAATTTGTATTAATGCACACCTCAAGCTAACAACAGTAAGAGTGCCGCCTAAAATTAAATTGATAAATTACACTTAAACCCTCTCATACTTGTCACTTAATCACTTAGAACTCTCACATTTAAAATATTACACATACATCCTTTTAGAATCTAAATATGACTAAAAATATTCCCTTAAATGGACATCCAAATAATTCTGTTTAAGTGATGTATTGTATTGGATATAAAAAATATTATGTAAATACCTACATTATAATGGGAATTTAAATGGTAATATTGATTTTGAACTTTAGAGTAAACAGACCCACAAAATAAATGGTAGTATGAAAATTATAATTTTTTATTAAGATGAAAAAATATTTTTTAACGGTTATACTAACAGATATCTACAACAAGAAAATATCAACGACAAAGGAGTTATGTGTTACACGTGCACAAATATCACAAGATGTGGGAGTAATATTTCAAATGTGATGGAGTCCAAATAGTTAAATGACAAGTATGAAAGAATCTAGATATAATTTATTATTTTAGTTTTAGATGGCAAACTGACGACTGTTAGTTTCGGATGCGCATTAATACAAATTTTGATCTTTAAATATGTAAATTGAGATTTGAATAATTTTTTGAGGTACAATTTACGATTAACCCTAAAATATAATCTACCGAACCTCCCTCCATAGTCCATACACACGTGCTCCTACAATTCATTCAATAATAGTATAGATGGTATCCTTTTGTAGGTCCCACCCAAATCAAAGATTCTTTATCTTATTCTCTAGTAAAAACTTCCTTTTCCAAAATTAAATTTTACACTGCCCTTCAAGAATTATGTTTCTTACATTGCACCACCAAACAAAATTATTTGTGTTGTATTACTCCAATTATTATCACTGAGAACAATTACTTTACTATATATTTGCATATTTTTCACTTAAAAGATATTTGATGTTTGATTTTGAAGCAATGTGGAAGTAATTCAAGTAGATAACCAGATAATATGAGAAATTTGATAGTTTATGAAATAAAATGAGATCAAGATTATAGTTGAGCATGATAAAGTGTAC